GAATAGTAAAAGAAATAATAAAGCCGCTTGTCTATCAAAAACTATTACTGAAACATCAGGTGGAGAGGAGGGCGAAAGTGAGGTATAGTCACCGATGTGGAAACCGCGTAGCGACTGTACAAGAGGGAAGATGTGAATGTCAGGAAGGGCGGTAGATGGATAGAAAAGAGAGGAGGAAGAGGTGGCACGTTGCGGGTAAGCTGTGCGACCTACAGCCTTCCCCATCTCCCTCCAATTCTATCTAAGCCACGTAGTGGTAAATGGCGCTGTTGGCGGGATCTCTTCTCAAGTAGTCCTTACCGATAAGAAACTCGATTCTCTTCTTTACATCTGTTTGCTGTCAAATGTCGAACAATGAAGGATTGAGTGAAAGAACAAATACAAGTTCACCTACGATCTTCAGGAAAATCAGAAATTCAAAATATCGAAATGAAGGTACATAATTGGCCCAGAAGCGTGAGATAAAAAACAAAGCAGATGACTTAGCTGAGAGTCATGCCTAACAAATTAGTCCTAATAAATTGATAATATAAAGGGTTGGGTTTAGAAAAAAGGATTCAAAACCACGATTTCTGTAATAATGGTGAATAGAGAGAGGAGATGAAAAACTAACCGTGAGTGGAAATTTTAGAAGCTGAAAGGTCTCGGAAATGAGGCTATTGTGATCAAGAGTTTTGCGAGACTTCATGATACGCACGATGCAGCAGTCGATGTGATTAACGCGATCGGCGAAAATGCGATTCTCGGTAGCCTTTTGCTCTTTGGCCTGGAAACAACGGCCACGCGAAGAGTGATCGTCAAAGTAGGAATTGAGGTAGGCTCAGAAATTTGGGAAATCTGCTTACCGATTCCTTGAGCTGGAGCTGATTAAATCTAATGCGTGTGAGGTGGTGGGTGAACTTCTTATTGAAGTAGAACTGGTTTTTCTCTGTTAATTCCGAGGTCTTGAAAAAGCAAGGGCCGATCATTTTATGGCAAAATATATTACTACATAAACAACATCAGTAGCAACTGTTAATATAGAAGAGATACGCACCAGAGGAAGTGATATGAGAACACGCTGGGTTTTGCTTGCGGCGAATGAGAGAAGAGCACGGTCTAGATGGGATTTTTCGATGCCTGTTGCCTCGGCAATGGAAGTGTAGGAGACAGGCTCGTCTGCCGGACCGTTGAATTGGAGCAGAACCAGCGCCTGGATCTCAGAGACCTGCAGCTCCTTCGTGCACTATAAATTGACAAATTAGGAAATCGTGTGAGGCAATTCGACTTAAGTTTCATTTAAATCTAGCTCTATACATTTTGGGGACTGATCACTACCTTAAAGTAAACAAAAAAGTAACTGTTAACAACCTATAAATCCAAAGAACATGACCAACTGACTAAATCAAAACAGGGATATGCTCTGAAATAACGTAATTTAATTGGTCACAAAACAATTTATGACTGAATCCAAACATCCGAGCTAGTAAATTTTTTCTTGATAATAGATTTTTAATGACAAGAAATGCGATGGGAGAGTAGCGCGGGAGTGAGTGAACTCACGGAGGGAAACTGAGCCCTAACGACACAAGTACCAAAAGAGGGAATATAGGTGAGTCTTCTTCCGCGATGTCGAGCGACGTAAAACTTCTCGAAATCTTCTCGAATGGCAAGCATCTAGGTTCAAATAAGTGCGTACGATTGGAAGTTTTGCATCTTACCTCAGAAGGGTAGTTGGCCGCGAGTGTGGGCATCTCCGGCCAAGAGGCGGGGGCAAGGACATTAACAGTGAAATCGATTGCATAGACTTCTGTCTGATGTGCTCGAAAACCTCTGCTCAGCTCGAGGCTCAGTTGGATATCCTGAAACATGAGCTCCATTTTTCGTGTGTAGTTAATACCACATTCTATAGAAATAACAATGATATAGAAAACGTTGCTACTGATTAATTACAAGTAGTGTCAATTACACAACAAACCTTGTTTCAGCCTTGAGAGAACCGCTTTCTCTGCGTCCACAGAGGCACTCCTGCCCAGAAGCAAACGCCTGGCCAACTGGCTGGAGTAGAAAGCTCGAAACACATCTTTTCCATCAATACAGCGAAAGATGACTAAGATCTTATCTACAAGTCGATCAAATTCATATTCCGATTGAGCCCTGTTGCTAGACCGTAATTGATTGTCGAGATACTTGGCGAGGCATTCAGCCGGCTTGTTTTGTCGGCGATTTATGAAATCCTCAAAGGCATCTTGCACCGTTCGGCTGAAGGAAGAATCATCAGAAAAACCCTCTCTGATGGAGTCCGTTAACGTGTCTTTCCACTCCAGTAGACGTTGAATCATCTCCCTATCCTTTTCGACAGAGTTTTCTGGATTGTCAACTATATCACAACCAACACGCATGACGATGGACTTAAACTCCGTTCGCAAGTTGCTAACACCATTATCGACTCTCGAGAGGAGATAATAGAGCAGATGAAGCTCCTTAAACTTATGCTCGAGAATCAGACTCGATAACGATGATAGGAGAAAGGAAAGACGCTTGGATATGAGCTCAGAATTTAGAACGGACATGAGTGGAGCTCGAGTAAGACCAGCGAGAAACATCTTTATCCGCTCTTCCTCTTCGTCGATGCGCCTATTCACGTGGATAAGGTAATCAGATATGGTCATTTTTTGGCTCAGAGTTTTACCCTCTTCGTCGTAAAATAGTCGACTTTGACGGATAAAAGGTTCCTCAAAATGTGAATGATAAAGCTATAAAAGGGAATGAAGGCATAAGAAAGTGAATTAGAGTAAGGTAAAGTCGAAGATGTATTTTAGAAAAGCAAACCCACATTCAGGTCTGAGTACATTCGAACTACCGATCGAAGCAGACCCTTTTCTATGCTCGCTCCACATCGCTCTTGGCGGATCAGATCAAGTAGACTTTTGAGGATTCTAGGCTGCACAGAACCATGCATTATAATAGTATTACGGAACAAAACCACCGCTAAATCCCTGAAACGCCAAGAAAATAATGAAAGTAAAGAAACGAGACAAATTGGCACAGAATCGACTAAACGTACCAAAGTTGTAGGAAATTTGAATTTATTAATGGCAATTGTTGATCCATGCACAAGAAGATGCTACGTATTAGTAACTGGAAGCAGGAAAAAGTGGTGACTTCGACGCCACACAGGGCAGAATTACCAATAATAGTAGCAGATTACCATTTTTTGGCAATAGGTGTCCCAACCGAGAGAAGCATTTTTAAGATCCATGTTCTCAGTATGCGAAAACGGTTAAGGAAAGCAAGGGGGAAATAAAGAATGACACAACGTTATGGGCACGTGTGTTCACCGATATACACGAACAGCGACCGTACACAACAAATAGATTCAAAAATAACGGAAAGGATATTTTGTGAAAATTGGCAACAGCTCATCCGCATAGAGTGTGAAGACTGATTTGAGAGTTTCGTATAATTTCACTATCATCGAATCATCGTTTACATTTTCGACACGCTTACGAATGATAACTAACAGTGCATTACCCTATATAGTTGTTCCATAGTATCATCAATTCTATTGTTATGAATAACTGCAAATACAGCTTCACGAAGTTTGGCGTGGTCTCTTTCAAATGCCAGTTCAGTAGTTGTTCTTTCATTACCTACATAACCTGAATAGTAGTGAAATAATAATTACTATCAAAGACATTAAATGAGAAATGTTTAGCTGGTTGTGTCCTATCGCTCATTGAGTGATAGATAGGCATGTTTGTGAAATCGAAATCGATGAGAACGGCGAGCCAGGCAGCCCACTAACGAAATGTGAGGGAGCGAACTTGATGGCAGCGGCTTCGTAGAAGAGAAGGAAAACAATACAAGTATTTTTAGGAAAACAAAAAACCTTGCCTAGCCAATTTTTCGTTAAATAAAAACAAAGTTGTATAGTTTTTTTCTTATTTTTATTATAAAATATGGTCTTATTAAGCAAGAGACGTAAGCGTGATGTTTTGCTACACTTAAGCGAAATATTTTTGGTGCAATATTAAACAAAATCTAGTGCACTCGAATTAGCTGCACCTAAACAGCTTTCTTACATGGCAATTATCACCGTCGAATAGGTATTTTAAAATTGGGCCACTTTAATTAACACTTTCGAAATAAGCATCGCCTAGCGAATTTGCTTGAGCTTTGAAATCTTTTGAAGGATTAAAAACTGCTTAGCAAACACTGCATTCTATGGATCTGGTTTAATCTGACTCTATATTCAGCCTACAATGGCAACTGATTTACGTGAAGAATGTACTCACTTCCGATTTTGGCTTCGCTCAGTTCTTCGGTAAAGAAATTAGGGTGAAAAAAATATTTCTGACGATAATATAAAGCCCTGAAGACGAATAAAGGTATGCTTGGGCATAAAATACACATATATATATATACATATATATATATACGGCCCACAGAAGGTATTAGGGCGAAGTAATTACGGTATGCACAAAGCCGAAATGATACGTGTACGTTTGAATGCAACTTTTAGACAAAGTGCATTTAGTAAAAGAATCAGAATTACCTGCATCTACCCCCGAGGGGGAGGTGTACTCTGAACAAGCAAAGCCCTGATTGCTGCGCTTGTTTGTATTATTACGAACAAGGAAATGTCCATGCCTGCAAAGCTTACCTGATCTAAGAGAAAAAGCAATGGGAAAGTTATAAATGCCAAACCCATTGCAATGGAAGCAAATAAATGGTAGTGTTACATGCTATTTGTATGTTTAGCTCGGTCTTAGTAGTGGGCTAATAAGGGGCTTCGCCTTTTTACCTCCACAGCGCCGGTCTGGCTTCCAGGGCATGCCAATAATTCCGTTCCCTTGTGGAGGCCGACAAAACAAGTGTTACAGCTTCTTTCCCTTTTGCGTACATCTTCGGGCTCTGCAAGTAAATTGCATAGATTACTCGGTTATGTTCCTAAAAAGTTACAACGAATTCATGCGGAGAAAATCATTGTTGGTTTGGGGTAGTAAAAGTGAACGCGATGTCAAAATAAAAAGACGAACGAAGGAAAAATTGCTTTCTGCACTTTAAACGAAAGGCGTTGTTGAGGTATGGCGATTCTTGCCAAAATCCTGGTTATTTCTAACATTTTACTTTCATTAAAGTCTATACTGCTTTTTGTTTATGTGTAATATGTTGTTTCCTTTGATTTCAATAGACACTTCTGTAGCGTTCCGAGACTCCCCGAAGTTGAAAGAAGACAAAATACTCGGGCAGAATATATATTCAGCGCAGAGAAGGTGTCTGGGCTATTGGTATGGCCCAAAAGGCCAGCCCACCCAAAGAGATACAAGGGGGCTGGTTCAAAGTACAAAAGTAACGTCTCGCCAGCACTAAGGGATAAACCACTATCGTATTACACTTTGATGAGCTTGATTTGTAAACACAAATGTGGATTCTTTGTAATCCAGCTAAAATGTAACGTCTTGAGACGTCTTTGAGGTCAAGAGAGGACCAGTCACTCAGGAATACTATGCATATTATACAGAGTAGGGGTAGCTGCTACTGGCATGGCCTGGAGGCCAGCCCACCCGGTGAAGACACAATGGGCAAAGGCACAATGTGGCCCTTAATCAAAACCAGAAGATTGAACAACCGGGTTATCATAAAAACATCAATGAATACGCTAACAAGAACATCAAATCCTGGTATGCTCCCAAGACAAACAAAAATCGTCAGATCTGCCTTTCCTTCACGACTTCGCATAGAAGCATTAGGACCTATTACTATTCATGGATGTCACAAGCAGAAGGTGTATTGTAGAACCGGCTTTAAATGATTTAGTAAAACCTAACAATAACTTTGCACTCAAAAAACTAGAAGGTAATAACAAAGTGTTTTAGATTTCTCCCGTGATTTGTTTAGCCGCTCTCACAACTTGTGCGTGCGATTAAATAGTGGCTCTTTGACGCTGATTGGTTCGTAGTATCGAACGCCAGGTGCTGTTATTTCCTTTATTAATCTACATATCCCAGACATTTGTTTTATGTTCTTCTGGTTACTTCCCGATTTGATATTTGGCTTTCGGTGCTAGTTTCATTAAGTGGTCGAATTTCCACCACGGTCTTTGTGCCAATTTAGTCAGTGTTTGGGTCTAACCATCACTTGAGAAGTATTGTGCCACACTTATTTGCCTTCCAGTGCTTAAATCTTGGTAGCTTTTTAATTATTTGGGTTTTGAAGCCTTTTTGCTGATATGGCGGCCTTTGTCAGCGATATCGAGGGATTATTTTTAATTCAGTTTGATGTCCATTGGCCTACACTTTTTCGGTACTATGATAGGTTTGATTAATACTGTTTTGCTTGTGCTCGTCATATGCACACAGTAAGTGAACTCGAAGGGTATAGGCCAGCTGTGCCAAATTTTAAAATTTTGTCGTGTTTATGCTATTTTCTACTATTTCTGCATTTTACATCGTTTGCTTAGGATTTAACCAACGTTTCCGCCGCAAATCCGAAAATGGAGCTTCTTCGCCTTAAGGAGGCTATGTCAAATGCGCCACACGTTTGTCTTCTTTATTGTTCCCTTCATTTTCTAATCTTAGGCCCAACAACTCGCTACACAGTTTGCAGCTGATGCTCAAGATATCAGTCACTTGCTTCGCGAGTTCAACACTGCCTGCTCCTACATTCATCAGGCGCAGGTATAATTGTGAATCTCTTTAATTTCAACCTGACTTTAGGAAACGCTTGCACAGTGCTACTTGCAAATGTCTGAAATTTCACGACTTATTGGAAGTAAAGTGAGTTATCACCCATCTTCCACTATACTTATAAAGCGATCACTGAGCATTTATGTGAATTGTGATTTTGGATGAATCCGTTCGTGCTATTTTTTTTTTGGTATTTTGACTGAAAGATAATATGAACTCCTATATGGGGTTTCGTGCTTATTTCCTGTCTTCCTACAAAGTCAATTATCTTTACAACTTTTCGCCTTCAGTACCCTTTTTGGACATTAAACATTAAGAAGTCCCAACTAACGGTATTTTTCTCCAGTGCTGCATTCATGTCCACGCAGTCCACCTATCCTTAAATATCAAAATTTGTGAATTGAATAAGTACTCATGATGTTTTTACCTCATTGTCAATTTTAACTCTTGAGAAGTTAATGAGTGCACATTTTTACTGACATTTCTTGCATGTATAGCTTGGGCGTCGGTGCCGTTTTCACCTTTCCTTTGCTTTGTGTTGTGCTATTGGCGGTTGCTGTCACTACTTTGCAAACTGTTGTTGCCTTCATTGAGCATTGATCTCCGATTGATTCGTTGCTGTATCTCAACTTATGTGAATGAAATTATCTTCTAATGAATTTTTTTCGCGTATCGTCTCGGCATTTCCACGACTCGTAGATGTTTTCTACCATCATCCCACTGATATCCTCAGCCAAGTATTCTCAGTAGTCTTTAGTGTCAATTTGATTTGACTACCTCCTCCCTAGACCCTGTCGGTACAGTCAAAGAACCCGGATTTCGAGAATATCTGTCTCCAATTCTCCAGCTTTCTTGAGGAGGTACGTCGCATCTTCACTGCCTCTCCTTGTGTGTGTTTTTGCTCACCTCTTTCATTTTTTCCCGCAGCTCTCGGGAATGCATCGAGCGGAGGCGGAAGAATTGCGCTCAGCTCTCTTCCTACCTGCGCACAAACTGCCCAGTCAGCCGGGCTTACAGTTAGTTGACAACTCGGGCGCCGCTGCGGCAGGGGAAGGCGGAGGCGGAGTTACAAGCCTTTTTTTCGCCGACCTGCGTGCCACCCAACGCCACCGTGAGGCCTGCGAGCGCGAGGTGCATGCTTCCCTTGCCCGCTACATGCGTCTCACGCGTCGCTGTGCGCCTAAAGAACACGATGACGCGGTACTCGAACTCTCTCGTGTGCGTCAAATGGTTTCCAAATCCTCCTCTAAGCTATAGGTGTTGAAATTTTTATGAATCGGTGTTGCTCTAGGTCGATCTAGATGGTCTTTACGGTGCATTTTTGAAGGTTTGCATTTACCTAGTAGTTACTGAACTCTCGGATACGGCTGCGAGTTTAAAACTTTTCCATATTGATTTCATCACTCCGGATCTAATCTTGCAAATTCGGTCGTACTTGAGTTAGTGTTTTGCCAAATTAGCCTTAACGAAATTGCCATATTAACTACTTAGTCTTTCGTTTATCTTAATGACTGTGATAACCTCAAAACACCTCCATCTGTTAACCCCAAATTATTAGACCACCTAGTAGTAAATCACGGAAAGTCTGTTGCGACTGTGAACTAGAAGGATATCAAGAAGTAGCGTAATGTGAGTCTGAATGCTACCTTTAGTTTTTCGGTATCCTTCAACTATAGCAAGCGATAAAAGAATCGGGAAATCCCCACAAAGGTTAGTTCGCCGACAGCTTTACACCTATCATGCTGCCTTCTTTCTTATTCACGACTGAAGCTGCATTATTTCATTCCTGTTGTACATAAAGTTGGAAAGTAGTCTCCGTCATACTACCTCTTATCGGTACTTTGTAGCGTCGTCGAATGTTCCAGCAAGCGGCAGTCATCTACCATGCACGCCTTAACGCAGCGCACTTCGAGCGCGAAATGGTTCCTCTCAATGCCTTCTTCGGTTTTCTCACAACCTTGCGCATCCATTGTAAAAAGATCGCCGAGGTAGTGGAACAGCCTTCGCTGGCTCAATTTGCCGAGGTCATCAAGTCCCAGTTCGATTGGTACGTCTTTCTAGTTAGTTGGTCGACTAATTACTATGAGCCTATTCCAATCTCTCCTTTCCTCATTGCAGCCGACAGGTGCAGTCCACACAAGCGACCGAAGAGTTCCTAAACACCCTCACTAACATCCAAAGCCAGTCGTTGGCTCTCTTCGCGCCTGAGCCACTCTTTGCCAAGTCGGGTAGGAACTTTCGCCCCTTATTGTATGCGGCGGTGAACTTGCTTGTTCCTGTCTTTACGGCTTTAATTTTCCGACATTTAAGCGTTAAGTTGCTATGGTTTTATCGAAGCCTCAACTTCAAAACGAAGTGACAACATTTTCCTATCCAAAATCCCTATCTCCTCCCGACTCTGTTCCAAGTTTTGGCGAATTCGATGTGATGAGTTTCCTTTTCCAACATCTGAAATTCATTCTCCCCTTCTTTGTGCTCTCCTTTCCGACCTTTATTAGTTCGCTATCTAGCTCGAAATCTCTATGGGTTTTCAGACAAGTCTTATCTGCGTACACCAGAAACGAACCTTCTCTCTAAGAGTGGTTACCTCTACATGCGAGTGAAGAAGACGTTTGGCTTTGACTGGAATGAAGTTTACTGCTTCACTCAGGGTGGGAATCTCCTCTGCCAACAGAAGGGAGATGTAAGCCACTGTTGTTGTTGCTGCTATCGTCTTCTTAACTTTTTTTTCCTGCGTCCTGGGGCGCGTTTCCCATCAGATATTTGGGCGCCTGAGTTAACTACCGAAGGTGTGAAATGCATTATTTTACTGCTATAAGTATATGGATACTTAAGGGTTGTGAGGTTAGGCACGTGAAGAGCGTGATAGATCAACTGCAAGTGATACGGTGATCACAACATCACACACTGAGTACCAACGTGATGTTTTGTATAATTGAGACCAACATCAAAATGCCACATATTGTTTAGGGCACATTCTTAGTGATGTAAGCTATTATTGTTTCTCCACTGGTTATCCAGCTCTAGTTGGATGGATGGAGGCTTTCCACAATGATGTTATGGGTTTCAAATCACAACCGGTTTTGCCCCTATCCTGCGTTTTGAAAGGAAAACAGGAGGTTGAACAGGTGTACTTTGTACGTTAGTTGATAAACTATAGCCTTGAAAAAATGTAGACGTTTGCAACATTACCAGACCCCATTCTCATGACATAAGTCGCACATTTTAAAGCCATTTTACGAAATATGCACTTTTACTAGCAATAATTGTCGCCTTCTGTTAATTGGCATTATTGGTTGTGTTCCTATCAAACGCTTTGGTAGCATTCTTGGCTCACTTTGTCGGAGGACTTTTCCCTTTTGAAATTGCTTTATAAAACCATTCTGTTGCTCTTTCGCTGAAAAGTGGCGGTGAAGTCCTACTCGAGCTGTCCGAGTGAAAGGTGATAATTTACCACCTTGATAATACCAATGTGAATAAAACGAACTGAGGTGAGCCTGTTGTATCTAACTCTGCGGGACTGGTCACTCAAGCTGCATATTGGCCAAACGACTGGATCATAATGTTAAATTCATGACATTGCAGTGTTTCACTTCCACAGATTTCCTTGTTCAGTTCTTTTTTTCAAGATCGGTCGATGTGCTCAGTTTATTCAAGGGATCTAGACAATTATTTGGTCTTTAGGCATTCAAACTTTTCAACCGCCTCGTTGATAATACTTAGCACTTTCGCTTCCAGAATCTCAGAGGCAAAATGTTCGCCATGCTTTACAAAAGATGCGCTTTACTTAAAATTTTCTTGCTTATACGCAAAGATCAAGTAATCCTCAGACTAACCAGCCATCATAAAATGATAAAGAATATATGTTACATGCTCAGTGCTGGTAAAAACGATGCTAAGAAATAATACAGCCCCATGCCAGCTAGTACAAATTCGTAACATGTTATTCCGTTGGGTAAAATATTCCACCATGGTATGTTACTTCTATTGCTTCCTTTGTGTGAGGTGGTGGGTATTAAACAGGCTCGTTCGTTTTGTCACTTTTTGGATGAGCAGAAATATGATCTTACAGTTCCCCTCCTTTTAATGGGACATCTGCGGTCCGCTGCTTTGCGTTAAGCGCCGCCACGACTAAGGTGTGTCGTACAGGCTTGCGCACACTGACACAAATTGGGGAGAAAATAAGTTGTAAATAGCATTGTTACCTTGTTTAGTGTTTCCAGACTGCCTTTTTGTCTGGATGTACATTAATTCTCGACTTAAGTTTGACTTTTGATGAAATTTTAATCTCTGGAGAAATCGCATCCTTAGATTGGCTAGTCAACCCTGGTTTCATTGGTTTGCTAAGAGGGTTGGGGATGGTGCATCACTTGTCTTGATCGACATAGTCACGGTAAGATAGCGACCCCGAGAAACCTGTGAAAACACGTTTAAGTTTACCTTCTTGAAGATGGTATGGCAGATTTGAAGCTAATCTATTGCGCATTGTGTCAGAGAGTGGTTTAAACCATTTAATCTGATTGTGGTTTCAGTATAAATCGGGCACTGTGGGTTGTCTGTCCTGGAGATAACTTTCTTTATCCACCTAAAATTAACTGTACTTATCTACGCTATCAAATGGCGGAGCAGTGCCGTTTTTACACTCGTCTGATGTACGCACAATTTTGGATTTCGATGCTAGTATTTCAGTTTTTCAATCATCCACCCCGATCCCAAATGCATTCTCCCATTTATCGCATTCTTTTTATCGAGAACAAAATTCCTAGAATGGAACCACCTCATCATGGCAAAACATCGTCCACGACTTGGTGCACTTTTGATAATCGCCTATGGTTTTTCTATTTTGCTCTGCACTTTTTTCAAATTGCTTTTAAAAGACAGCTCCGTGGAGGGCTCACCTTCATGGGAAAGCAAAAATTTTGATCAATCAGAAGTTTTCAAGATCGCAAAATCTCGAACGTAGAGTGCTCAATGAATTTTGCGCTTAAATATGGTCCATTCAATATTATATAGAGCTCAGAGTCCTCTTCTTATTCGGTGATGGATCTGTGGAGAGGTAATTTAGCGGCCTGATGACTTACAATAACTCTTTCTAAAAGTGTTCACAAAAAAAACCAATAAAACCGCCTAGTTTCCTAAATTCAGGGAAATATTTCTGCTATTCGTTTTCTCTTTTCAATAAAGTTTTTGTTGCCCATAGGGAAACAGCTTTGTCAGAAATCTTACCTTGTTACATTTTCAAAGGTTTGGACTTGGAATAGAGAAACCACAATGGCTCAAAAACCAAGAGCTAATCCGAAACTTTGAGGACTCAAAGAGACCCTTTTTGTTGACCCTACTGTCGTTATATTATACAAATAGCTCGGCGCAGGTGTTTTGGTGAACCTAAATGGAAAGGGTGTCTTCGCAGAACCAATGGATATCGATGATCGCAGATACACCTTCCAGATAGTCTCCCCGGCTGAGAAGCGGTGAGTTGGTTACCACACCAGGTGGCTAGTTTGCATGCTCTCCCTATCTTTCCCCTTCCTCCTTTTTTTGTCGCCTTTTTCATCTACCAAAGTGGTATTTGACAGTGTGAAGAAACAACAACAGCATCAGGAGCCGAGCTTCATCCATTCCCTCTTTTCCTCCGAGCCCCAACATCAGCCGCAGTAAGCCGCGCACTTTTCCTTCGCTTTTTGTGCACACCCCATTAGCCACCACTTCCCCTCCTCTTCTAGAGTACGCGTAAACTGCTCTGTTGGACTGCTCCATCCAACTGTTTTTATCTTTGCATTTTTGCAGAACCGTTGTTCTTCAAGCCGAAAACTCAACGGATCGCGATGAGGTTAGTTCTGTATACACTACTTAAATATTTTAGTAACCGTAGTCGAGTTGATCTTGTCGCTTGCGTGGCACATGTATCATTTGTGGAAAAGCATTTCTATTTGTATTCCCATCTGCTATTTAAAGCTATCAGATATTAATAAAACATGTCGTAAAGGACGGTTCTCACAAGGTGTATAGGCAATAATCAGCTTTCTAAGGAGCCATTATTTATTCCTGAATTTAAATGCGAGGAAGTCGCGATAAAGTGACTCCGTAGGCGGAGGCATACAAATCCACAATGCGGTAGAGTATGATTGCCGCTTAATAATTTATGTAATTACGAAATACCCTTTAGCTCCCTGTCGTTTCACTTCTCAAACCATCATTACAGCGGTAGTTTAGGGTGTATTGACACGTAAGGCCATATCGCGGTGGGAAGGTTCTCAATTCATAAAGCAGCGGTGTTTCCCATATCATGCACCGTGATAGATAAAATAGAAAAGGATTTCTACTGGAAACATTTTTCTGTTATTTTCTCCAAATAATGAGCGTTCTGTTCATTTAGAGCCCCAATTAATTTCTTCTAAAGCACTGAACCTTATCCACTTCTGTCACCGCCAGAAGTCAACTACAAAATAATTCTATTGTTTGGATGCAGAAAGTCTAGGAACCAGGCGTGTGTCCGGTATAACCAGGACTGAAATCATTCCCGGTTTCAAGATTTCAAGGGCATGGTGAAATAAGTATTTTTGATTGCCAAAGTTGGATTTGGGAAGCAGTTTACTGTTAAAATGTTGTACCTCTGGACTTTGGAGGTACACGCAGCTAGTCTTGATATTACGGGGATTTTTATTTTGCTTTAGTGGATTCACACCATCTCAAATGTCATCATAAACACGAGTAGTTGGGCCGGCCAAGGTCAACCGCCTCCTGAACCGAGACCGGTGGATGTAAGCTACATTTTCTTCATCTCATCAAGCTTTTCTTGGCTCTCGTCTGTGACTCTGAATCGCCTTTATTAAGTTAATAGCTACAGTTTTATGAGACTGCAGCTTGATGCCCACCTCCTTATATCTTAATCCTGATAATTATACGTGTGCCTTTTGCTTGTGGTGTCAACAGTTGTTACTTAAATTTTAGTGTGTCTGAGAGGTGAAATCCTCTTGTCTGCAAAGTAAATAATAATGGTAGTATCAACCTTTCCTGGAAGAGGATCATATTACCTCTGAGTTGGATGTAGGGAATTATTTTTTCGCTTCTACGTTTTAATTCAAAATCGTTTTCGCAACGCGACTTAATTTGCCACAGTCAAGCTTTTACTCCTTTTGGATTTACAAGGTTGAATTACAGAATGTCATTTGACCGTTATTGGGTGTTTAAGTAATTTTGTATCCGACATTTAGTTTCTGTTTTACTCGAAACGTAATGATGAGTGAGCCTTGCAAGACCCGGATTCGAAAACCTCTACTTTCTCTTCGTTCCTCCTTTCCCTTTGCATTTCTTTGTGCGTTTGTATGTGAATAAATTGTCTTAGGCACTATGGCTGGAGCTAACGAGGCGTGTCCATGACCACTCATCAGATCAATCAATCAGTATGAGGTATGTACAGTTGCATGTATCGAGTTTGCACCCCTCTAGGGGAATACTCGGATTGGCACTTATGTGCTCATACATACGCGTTTTGTCTGCTTCCATTTCTGTGTTGAAGCACTCTTGATTAAGTAGGAAGTGTCAGATTTTATTAAGTACTTCGCTTCTTTTTTGCTAAATCGGTAACAATCGTCTTTCGCTTTACTCTTTCCTGGTCATTGTGAAACCGCATCGTAATCTTTTTTGTATGAGTTCTTCTATCAAGTTGGAGCTTTTTTAGTGATTTTATGAAATCATATATTCGGAAAAAAAAGGATTTTATTTTCGAATATGAGTCCGGTAGAGGGGCAAACTCAAAAAGCAAAAAATCCTAAAATATCCACAAAGTTTCGGGCCTCTGAGGAGTCGGCTGGTCAGTATTTTAGCGCCTGAGCCCTTCTTGAAGATGTAGTAAAATGTACGCTTCTGTATTGGACCTTATTGTGAATGCACAAAAGGAAGATGGAATGACTGAAGAGTCCACGTAGTTTGATGTATAACTAACACGAATTTCGTTCTTCAATAGTACGTTATTTGAGGGTTTGTAGATCGTCTTACTATCAATTGAGACTGCGATTTTACCGGAGGTGAAGGTGAACTAATTGGAAATAATTACAATAGACTCACTCCTCCCCCATATTTTATGGTACTCCCATTCCAACAGAATCAAATCTCTCGATCCAACTAGTAGACTAGATGGGTTCATAGGAAGCTTCATCCCAAACTCTGTAGTAGAAGCTACCAGTGCTTTTGACGGTGTAATCGGCATTTTCTGCCTTTGCAGTACGATCAATCTATTTGTGATAGATCAGCAAGATTGGTGCATTTACTGGGAATAAAGTGCCTCAGATCATACAGCGATGTTGAGATGATGTAAGGTACAATCATTGCGAATCACGACGGCCTCTTTTAACGAGCGTTCAGGAAAGCAGCTGAAGTTTTGTGACTCGGATGTCCTTAGGCCTGATTTGCTGATTGCAACGAGTCAATGTCTGTTTAATCGCATTGGTCGAGATATTGAAGATGCGAAGCTTGTATTTAAACAGGTGAATCAGGTCAAAAGAGGCAGCTTCAGGCTTTGACAATGGTAATTAATTCCATGTACCACAAATAACTTTGTCTAAACAATTTACAAAATCTTCCCAAGAAACTGCCTCATCCGTTTATCACACCAGCTGTCCACCACCAGAAGATACTGGTAAATACTGGTTAACTGCATTTTGTTTATCGTATTTAAGTAACAACTTCCTTCTACTGACTTTGGTTCTTTAGCTTTGGCAAAATCTAGGTGATTTTGACAGCCAAAATGACCAAAACGTCACGCAGCTATTTCTCTAACCCACACACACTTTGGTGTGTATGGTAATTTCCCACTTTTGACTATTTCTCCACTGTTCTGAGCGGTTGATTAGTTCATTGGTTGCACCCTATTATTCTTTGATAATTCTGCTTCGGTGTAGCTGAAATACATGGGATTTAATCCTCCAAGATGTGGTTACATGAATAATGTGCAGTAATTAATGGTTGCTACTCTCTGAATGCTTATAATTCCCCCACCCCTCAATTTGTTAAACGCAGTTACTCAGGGGTGATGCCCTGTAGCTTATATCCAGCTAAGGCACGCATCATTAACTGGCCCCTTGGTTTTCCACTTCTATCATACTTCTCTTGTGTATCATTAAAAAGAGCATGTTTTTTTTTCCTTCTCTTTATTGCCTTGCAATATCAATTAAAGGAAAGCTTCCCTAATTTTACATCTCACCCTTTTTAGCAAATTTGGGTGAAAGGCACTCGAAGTTGGAAGAATACTCGCCATCCATTCGTTACATTATCGTCGCAAACAGCTGCCAAGGCTAAGACACTTTTTTAATTTCAGAAGTCCTTCGTTGATTTTTCTGAGGTGCTTGAATAATTATGCTTCTTTATTTAACAGGGGAAAGTTTTTTTAGGACGTATCTGCTGGGCGACCATATTTTCGCAAATTTGATGCTGTGCTTTGAAAATCCATGATCTTGTTCCACTTTCCTTCCCACTTTTTTAGTTGAGAGGCTGCCTGTTTAGGCATAGGAGTGGAGTGGCTGAATGGAATTTGTGAAGGTACTTTATTTGATATCGCATGCAAGGACTACAAAATTGCCAAGGCTGAAACAGCACAAAGAACAAATGATTAATGGCTTTTGAACTTAGGTCGGAGCTAAATTTTTGGATCCTTCATTTTGAGAAACATATTAGCGATTATGATATTACTTAACTTTTTTCTGCTGCTTATATTTAACTGTAAACACTTGTGTGCCTCACAAGAAAAAATTATTTTTAGTTTAGCATTGATAGCCAAATTGCGCTGCCAGCAAGGTTGATGTTTACTGTACGCATTTACTGTTGTGGGTTAAGTGTTCCCTTTCACCTCACTTCCAAGAGTCCGGACCGAACCGGACACTTTCGTGAAAAGCTGAAAAAGATACACATTTTTAGTACTTTATAAGCATAATTGTCAAGTCACCAATAATGACTTCCCAATACTTCTGCAACCTATGTGTTATCAGTATTTTGACGAATTTCAGAGTTGTCTCTTCTGATTTAAATTAATCGAATCACAATTTTCTTTCTCATCACCCCAGTCCTAGCAAGTTCGTCAATTGAAGCTACCATTAAGGTGTGAGGTGCCTTAGTTTTCATAGCTGGTAATCACTTCCTTGAGATCCCTTGCATGCTTCGTTAACACACGGTTCCTTTCAGATCTTGTTGTTGTTGAATTCTGTGTGCTTGTTATGCAGCTTCTAGAAGAAAACCACTTTTGCTTTATGCATTAGCGTTGAGAATAAAGCCCCTGACCTCGGACATGAGGCTTAGTTTCCCCTCCAGCAGTAAAGGTTATGTTGTAGTGGCACGAAAATTCTGGAGAACACGCTTGGTGAACAATCCTTATCATCAACTGCATCTTCCCCATAATCTTTAAAAGTTGGATTTTCTGGGTGATTGTGTGCCTACCATTATCACAGGTTCTTCATTAAAATACACTTTCTATTTATAAAAACCAAATTTCGAAGAAACAATGCATTTCTTCCGTAATCTTGAAATCGGGATTTGTCATTTTATTGTTTGATTGCTTGTTTATTTTCCAATAAGTTCATCTTCGTTGTACGACCTCTCAGAGTAACATTTTAGAAAGAGGTGATTATGCCCTTTTCGCTTTATCCGCTCTACAGCCGCTGCCTTTCGTGTTGGTACCGCGATCACAGACCTCTCAGGAGGCGAGCCAAGAGAGCGCAGATGAGGAGGACGAGATGGAGCGCGCTTTGCGGGCCTCACTTTCCTGCACTGCATGGATCGCTCAGGCACCACCACTTCACCTTGAACTCACCCCTGTCGACGCTCCTGCTGTCCCCGACACTACTGCTGAAGCTGTGGGTGACGCAAATGCCGACTTAGAGGTGGTGCTTACCTTCATCGGTAGTATGCCGCTACCTCGATTCCTTGGTGAGTCTCTTTTCCAGTCTTTGCTTGAATTGCCTCGATAGAATTACGACGAATTTGTCTCTACTTGTACTAAGCTTTTATAGAGCCAATTTACCTGAATTGCACTTTCTGTTCTAGATTTAGGACCCTCTTTCGCCTCCTGTTGTTAATTCTTTGCTATGGAAGACTCACTTTCTTCAATTTAGATTTCAGACCGTCATTTTTTTACTTAAACAAAAGTGCTATTTGAAACACCACCAATGTGCTTGAAAAGCTCAGTGATCTAACGTTGCGCCCACATTCGCCGAATCTTTCGACTTTGCAGCTGAGTCGTGTTTACTCAATTTCCGCTCTACGCTCCCGTTTTCCATCGCTTTTTGGTAGATAATCTGAATACTAGCCTGCCCCCCCCCCCC